AAACCTTTCAACCTTCAAACCTTCATACAATCAAACCTTCAAACCTTTAAACAATCAAACATACAAACCTTCAAATAACTCATAAACTTCAAACCTTCCAACCTTCAAACCTTCAAACAACCATACGCAATGGCCTCTACACCCCAATATGTCATCAGTGCACATTTCAACGGTGAGACATACATTTGTCCCACCTCTGGGTTTTTGTTTAGAGACACAGACAACATCTGATTTCTTTTAAACGGGAAAGCCAATTTCTCATACTTCAAAAAACGATTGGAGGCCAAACTTGGACGAGGCCCGGTGACACAAATATTTTATCAGAATCCAGTTTTTTTGGTAACAACCAAATAATATTTTATAAGGTTGAGGTTCAAGATGATGAGGATCTTCAGAATATGTTTTCCAGTCATGTGTATTATGGGTACGACTCTATTGAGTTGTACATTATGCTGCGAGAGCCTCAGGTGACACAAGTGGTTGATCATTTGGAGACCGAACAAGCAGAGGTAGATGCAGTTGATGAAGAAGAAGAAATGACGAGTTAGAGTTTGATGAAATGGTGAATGATGATTCCGAAGACGATGGGATACCTGGTATTCCTGCAAACGAGATCTACACACCACCTCCGCACATGACAAACTTCAACATGGGCGGAGATGAACCGTCTTCTGATTTATTTTTCAATCTGTATATGCAGTCGGATGAAAACTTAAAAGAGAAGGGCAAGTTTCGTAACAGAGAAGAATGCATCAGAGCCATAAAAAAATTCCACATGCTCAACTCGATCGATTTTAAGGTGGACCGTGTCAATCCAGAAAGGTACAAGATCAAGTGTGTCCACCCTGATTGTATGTTCAAGCTCACTGCATCATACATATTAAGAGGTGATTGCTGGGTCATAGGTTCCATGTCTATCCACACTTATGTCAGTTCTACCCAATCACAGGACCATCGAAAACTTAATTACGATCTCATTTGTCGAGAAATCCTACCACTTGTCAGCAACGACCCATCTTTGAAGGTGAAAACCATCATCTCCCACATCACTATGGTTTTTAACTATACTCTGTCTTACCGTAAGGCGTGGTTAGAAAAGACCAAGGCGGTTGAAAAGGTGTACGGAAACTGGGAGGAGTCATACCAAGAACTTCCTCGCTACCTGAATGCACTAAAGACTTATTCTCTGGGTACTGTTTACATTCTGGAAACAGTGCCAACATACGCCCAAGATGGTAGTCAACTAAACGGAAACGGAATATTCAGTCGAGTGTTTTAGGCATTTCAACCTTGCATCACAAGGTTTGCATCATGCAAACCAATTATACAAATTGATGGGACTTGGTTGTATAGGAAATACAAAGGCACGCTACTGATGGTAGTTGCACAAGATGGCAACAACAACATTTTCCCAATTGCCTTTGCAGTCGAGGGGGAGACCGGTGGTGCTTGGAGCTTTTTTCTGAAAAACCTACGAACACACGTGGCTCCTCAACCAGATCTCTGTTTGATCTCGGACAGACATGCATCCATTGAAAGTGCCTACATAATCCTGCAAATGGTTGGCATGATCCTCCTTCTACGCATGTCTATTGCGTTAGACATATCGTCCAAAATTTCACGAGGGAGATCAAGGACAAAACACTAAGGAAAGCGCTTATGAATGCGGGATATGCATTGACACAACCCACGTTCAAATATTACCGCAACGAGATCTGTTTGTCAAATCCGGAAGCCAGTAGGTGGATCGACAATATTCCGATGGAAAAATGGACTAGGTCATACGACAATGGCCAAAGATGGGGGCACATGACAACAAATCTAATTGAATCGATGAATAGGGTATTCAAAGGCATACGAAACCTCCCGATCACTGCTTTGGTAAAACCTACGTATTTTAGGATGACTTCGTTGTTTGCCAAAAGAGGTGAAATATGGAATGCGGTGTTGCAATCTGGACAACTATGGAGTGAAATCTGCATGAAGTACATTAAGGCAGAAAGTGCCAAAGCCAACACTCATATGGTTATACAGTTTGACCGACACAGACACAACTTCATTGTGAAAGAGACAATCGACCACAACGAGGGCCTGCCGAGACAAGAATATAGAGTTATACTACCTTCTCGTTGGTGCGATTGTGGCAAGTTTCAAGCCTTTCGTATGCCTTGCTCTCATGTCATTGCCTCTTGTGCTTATACCCATCAAGACGCGCTACAACTTCTGTCACACATTTACAAATCGGAAACGTTGCTCAACGTTTACAACAACAACTTTCCTTTGGTAGCAAAACCAGATTATTAGCCTGCATACAGCGGCGAAATAAGTGGCACAATGACCAAATGTGAAGGAACAAGAAGGGTCGTCCCAAAAGTAAGCGCATCACAACCGAAATGGACTCCCTTGACAAGCTGGAAAGAAAGTGTGGTTTATGCCGTCAGGTCGGACACAATCGCAAAAATTGTCCGAATTGGGCGTCTGCCTCGACCACATAAAAATTGTATTACATAAAATCTTTCCTTAATTATGTTGTAAACATTAGGGTTTTCCGTTAACAGTATTTGCTACAATAAACATTACGCGTACAAGAAAAAAAACACGATATTCCGTCTACGAAATTACAACTGTTAAAACAATTTCATCTGACCCATGCATCATCAACATTACGCCGCTGTCTGTTTTGACTTCCTCCAACCATACATTAGGTCTTCCAGTCGCATGTGAGATTGTTGTTCGTCTTCGCTGGATCCTTCGAATTCCCCCCCCCCCCCCCCTCCACAATGTCTCCATCTAGCCATCGCATCAACTCCCGCTTCAGACGCTCCATGGAGTGAATGTGCCAGAATTTCATTTTCATCGCAGGTTTCGTGGCAGAGAAGATAACGTAACCATCTCTGGTAAAAATCATGGGCGATGTCATGACGCAAATAACAAAGTAAAAAATAATAAAATAGTGCGAGAAAGTGTGAGAAATGACGGAGAAACAGACGAATTATTTATAAAAACAACATTTTGCCCTAGGAGCCAAGTGAGATGGCGCATCCTCTCACTTTTAAAGTGCATGCGCCATCTCACTTGGCTAAAAGAGAGAGGAGGCGCCAAGTGAGATGGCGCATAGGGCAAAAAGCTTGGTGGAGGCGCCAAGTGAGATGGCTCCTCCTTTGGAGAGTCATCTGAAACATGATTATTTGCGTAATTTTTTCCGAAACGTGGTTATTTGCGATTTTTTTTTCAATATTTGGTTATTCAAAAAAAAAAAATTTCGAAATTTATCTTATATTGTGAAATACTAATAAAATTTTAATTTTCATAAAAGTGTCCTTGTACCTAAATGCTCTTGTAGGATAATAACCCGAATAAACTGTCCGAACCCGTAGAAATCCAACCCGCTAAAATCGAATATAAAATTGAGCGGAAACAGGCCTATTTATTCCAACTGCGGTTTGAATTGAATGACAATTTCAGGCCGAATCCACTCAACCCAGACTGTTGTCCATCCCTAACCTAGATCAATGAATATGCTTCAATACCTTATTCTTTTAATGTTTGATTCACTTTGTCGAAACTGTCATATTACATGCTCTTCTTTTTTACAAGGAAAGCTGCCATGGATATCGAAGGATCATGTTGTCACAGGTTCTCACGAATGCTTTGATTTGTGGATATGTGTCTCACCATGACTCGGATTTAAGTACTTTATGGATTTGACATTTTTTTCTTCACTTTTTACCTTTCACACTATCTATTGTTTCTTTCTTCTAATAATTTAACACTCATTTAATTTTTATTCATTACAATAGTTTTATTTAATAAAATTCAATATTCTATTCTACCACTTTTATTATATATATATATATATATATATATATATATATATATATATATATATATATATATATATATATATATATATATATATATATATATATATATATATATATATATATATATATATATATATATATATATATATATATATATATATATATATATATATATATATATATATATATATATATATATATATATATATATATATATATATATATAAAATAATTTATTTGAATTTTATTTTTTTAATTTTATATTTTAATTGAATTTTTAGTGTTAAAAATGATTAGAGCTACAAACAAAATAAGAGTTTAATAGAGGTTAAATAGAAAAATTAGAAAAAAAAATTTCGATTTTTTTTTGTATCCAAATCTAACGAACCAAGTCTTTATTTATAGAGAAAAAAATAATGAATATTGATGAAAATAAACATAAATAAAAAATTAATTTATTATAAAATAATTAGTTCTAAATTATTAAGATGAGATAAAAATTTAAACAATTATAATATTTTCAACACCTCATTCAACATCTTCACTGCAATTATTGAATTATTGAATAATTTTTTCAATACTCTATTATAATTGGTTTCATGTTCGAGATATAAAATTATATTATTTTTAAAATTTTTAAAAATTTTAAAAATATCAAATACATTCTAAAATATATATGTTAGTTCTTTAAAAATCAACTCTCAAACGGAGAAATAGCCGTGCGAAGAGTAAGAACAATCATAAATATGTTTTCAAAAATAATTTTAATATAATTTAATTAAATACATATTTTTATTTAACAAATTATTTAATTTTTTCTTATTTAAGATAAAATATTAAACTAAAAAATTAACATACACGGAATTAATATTCTATATTTATTGAGAATAATAAACAAGATCCAATGGTGGTGAAAGGATTGTTAGATACATAAAATGCATATCTTGGTTATTTTTAAAAATCAAATAAAAAGGTAACTTGTATTCATATGCAAAGAAAATAAAACCGAACCAGCTGTTTTTCTTAATTATTTTTTAATTAAAATACTTCACCCGAACCGGTTCGTGAATCGTCAACACCTGCAACGATTTTCCTCATTCCCATTTCACTCTCCTCAAAACGAAAAACTAAAACCTGTGCTACTAAGCGAAATTAAGCATTATTCTCCGTTCAACCATGGCGGCGACATCTCAGGCTCAGTTGTTCTGCCTCCCCACCGTTCATCGCAGCCTACACATCCAGCAACGGCGCTCGCTTCCATACCTGTCCTTTCGCTCCTCCAAGGTCCTCATTTCATTCTTCGCTTCTCATACTTGTTATTCAATTAAACGAATTCGTATTAAATCTTTACATTTTCTCTTTTTTTTTGTTGTTGTATGAAATTCTCTTTGATCACGGTTGAGTTCACTTGGGACTTACTAGGGTTTTAGTTTGTTCAATTATGTTCATCAACTACATGAATGCCTTCAAATATCATAGATCTAGGTTAAAGATACTTCGAAATTAAAAATCTGAATTCTTGTAAATTATTTATGAATGAGTGTCTGGTTTTAGAATGAAAAATTGTTGTTGAATTCGTGGTTTTGTTAGCTATAGTGTTGAAGTTGTGACTTTCTCTTGTGCATCTTGTTTTCTGAATTTGTTGTTTTTTGTAGTCAATGGATTTGAACCGTTATGTTTTCCTTTGAAATCATGTTAAATCAAATTTAGAAGAGGCATTAACATAGATCCATTTTAGTTTGGAGCTTCATGTTTCAAATTTGGTGCCTGTAAGAGCCATTAACAGTTACACTCACACATAGGCATATTTTTCCGCAAGTACCAGGAAGTGCAACTTTAATGAACAATTATGCTTGTACCTCACTGAATGTAATTCTTGTTAGAATTGTGAATATTTTGCTGGAAGTGTGTATGATCAATCAAGTTGGCATTAACAATATAATGAACGTGAAATGCACAACTAGTTTATTTTAGCTTCCTGCCATGTTTGTAATGCAGTTAGTGGAAATCATGTAAAATCTTTATTTTTGCATATGCCACTCTGAGATTAAATGGCATAGTGCTAAATGTTATAAATAGGGATAAAGAACAGTGCATATTATACATTCTTTCAAATGAAAGATCGCTATTGCAGTTATTTTGATCTTGATACTAAACAGGAAACATATCTCATATAGTTATCAGTTGCTATGAGTCTGGAGAGGCATGAAGCAGAGACTGCTGATACTGAAACAAAAAATACACTAAGTTATGCAGCTGATGAACCAAAATTGAATGTTGAAGAAAAGCAGGAGTCATATTCAAAATTAGAAGAAAGTGGCCCAGAAAAATTAGGGTTAGGAGAGGCAACACAGGAAGGTGCGGTTGATCAGCAGAAAAAGACTGCAGTAATTCATGATTTTTGTTTAGGAATTCCATTTGGTAAGTGTTCCCAGTTAGATAACTTGTATCTTAGACGACTTAACTGTTTAGTCATAATATATTTCACTCTGGTGTTGGTGGATACAAGTTTGACTTAATTGCATTCTTAGTCTCTCTCTATTTGCGAACAATAATAACCAAAGGGTTTCCCAGTGGGTTGGGTTAGTTACATGTATTAACTGATGCATCATATCTTATCATAAGAGGACTATTTAAATCTAAGCCCTTCTTCTTGTCAATCCAGAAGGGAAATAGACTCTTTTGTGCACATTATTGATAAGTTGGATCTAGTATATACTTGCGGCCTTTTTTATTTTCTACAAACTTCTCTGTGCTATTAGTTATTTTTCTTTCCTTTCACTCAAGAGAGGGGTAGGGGTGTTGTTTCAACACTGATATTCTAGTTGACATACTTCTTTTATATGTATATAAAAAAGGTTAGATCTTGTTAAATCGAAAATAAGTGTAAGTCAAAGGGAAAAGCAATAGTTACACTCTCTATTCCAAGGGTGTTGCAAGTTAAGTGAAAGATCTTGAAAATAGGACAGGGAATTGATTTACCTCAAGAACGCCTTTTTGAAGATAAGTGTTTTATAGATTGTGGTTTTCACATGCCTGGTAGTGTAAGAAGATCATTATGCTGATTGCTGAACAGGATCTAGAACATGTAGGCGACCTTTTGATTAAAAAAGCAATTCATAGGAAACGACCATACCTTATCTCAATACAAAAAATAAAATAAAATAATGTCCTATGCAATTCACCCTCTCTTTAAATATGCTATATGTATCTTTGTCTTTTGTTGTAGGTGGATTTGTTTTAACAGGAGGCATTATTGGATTCCTTTTTTCACGGAGTCCTGCAACACTGGCCAGTGGTGTGCTCGTTGGTGGTGCTTTACTATTCCTCAGCACCCTTAGCTTGAAGGTCTGGAGGCAAGGAAAATCTAGTTTACCATTTATTCTAGGACAAGCAGGTATAAGATCTCATCAGTATTAAAACACCATTTGTCTTGGAGTTAAAAACAGACACATAAAAGGCTGCAGGTTGATTTATTTTATTCGGACAATTGTTCTTTAAATTCTGTTTCTTTGTTTTGCAGCATTGTCAGGGATCCTTATCTGGAAGAACTTTCAGAGCTACTCATTGGTACTACATATTTTTTACAAAAGACATATTGTACCCTATTTCATTGTTATACTCATTTTCTTTTCTGCATGCAGGCAAAGAAAATATTTCCAACCGGCATCAGTGCTATTATAAGGTATCTCAGTCTGTTAACTATTTGTGTTTGAAATTCGTAATTGTTCTTTCATTCAGCCTGTTGGCTTCAAGATAGTTCTGACTTTGGTCCGATTCCTTATATATGCGTGAAATTTTTCTTTACAGTTCTGCAATGCTCTGCTTTTATTTATACGTGCTTGTCTCTGGAGGAAACCCCCCACCTAAGAAATTGAAGCCATCTGCCAATGTAGCCTGATGAGATAATGAAAAGGTTATGTTACTTAGATAATGGGAGGTATAGTTTCTTATTTTTCTGTGAATCAAAATAAGGCTGTAAGCTAGTAATTTATCCAAGTCACTTTTGGAGGTAGGTCAACAAAGAGCTGCTGATGTGATTATTGCATCAGATTTCTAAGCATATAGGGGATTATATGTTCTGAAATTTGATGCAAAAGCTTATTTGCTTGTTACAACTGCATACATAGTTTCGATAATGACAACTACACAGAACATGCATTTTGGTTCCTTAAAAACATCCATATATTTTACTTTGAATGCCCAACCCAATGTCTCTTTTAGTTTTCTGTCAAGGAGATGTTTTTGATTGTTCATATCATCCTAGGTATAAAGATCAGGTTTTTCTCCATTCAACGGGAAAAATAAGATTCAGTCTTTTGCTTAGAGGATATATATTCTAGTGAATTCAATACTAAAAACAAAAGCAGTAAAGAGTGCCAGACATTTCCACACACCTCATGTAAGAGGTTAGATAAGATAGACCATGTAGTTGTAGTTTCTGCATATACTCCATCCCTCCGTTTCATGTGTCCTTTTTGAAATTTTCACACTTTTTAAATAATGATTAATTATGTTGCTTTCAATGATATAAAATGAGTCTTATTTAAAATAACTTTATTAATAATTGGTAGTGAAATAGTTATATGGATTAAAATACAATAAATAAAGATAAGTTAGTAGATAGAAATAATAAATATCACATTAGTATTTTAAATGGATAAATAATTTGAGACAAATAAAAATAGGAAATAGGGAAGAAAACATCTATTGTGAGACGGAGGAAGTAATTAGATAACAGATAGGAAAATTGGGCGGTTTAAATGTTTTTTTTGGATAAAATGACAGTTTTGATAATTAAAAAAAAATTAAAATATAATTAGACTTTATTTAAAACTTATTCTTGTTTGTAATTAGAATTGGTTCAAAATTTATTTTCAATTTGTATTTTGTATTATTTTGTTGTGAGTGATAATTATATTTAAAATTTGAATTTAAAAATTGAACATGCGGAATTATGATATTTTAAAAATTTAAAATTTTGTAAGTGTCGTAATATTTTTTAGATACCTAGTCATTTGGTTCGACCTATTTAATACATTATAGAGACTGATTTATTCAATCGAGTAATCTGATTTAATATGGTTTAGTCATAAAGTTTGACCAACAACCCAATGATTCGACTAATGATCTAATACTCATCGGTTTGATGACTGGTTCAGTTTTTGAAAATACTTTTCATATTGCTACTTATTTAATGAAGAGAAATGTTATTTTCGGTGGTTTATTTGAAATTTTTGGTATTTTAAAAATTTCAAATTTATTAGGTAGTATTGGAAATTTGAGTTATATTTAAATTTTCGGTAGTTTATTTATTCAAGTTTTTTAATGGTCGGGATTTTATCAACATCTTTGGAGGGTCCTGATTGCACCGACAAATTTGTGTTGTCTAAAATGCATCATCATTTGTAAAAATAAGGGCCTATGTTACCGAAAATCATTTAAACACGGTCTCTTCCTCAATTTCTGATCAAGACAAAAGTATATTACAACGGAAACAATCGTGTTGTTGAATTCAAGCTTCTAGATGGCAGCACATTCTTGCCACCTTAAAAGAAACGTTTAATGCATTGCTGCCTTATTCAAATAACAAAAGGGTGACAAGGATTAGGTTTCGGGAAGATTTGATTGATACAAATGGAAGTGTGAAATACAACCTGATCAAGTTGAAGATCGATGAAGATGCGAAGGCCATGTGGAAATCATTTAGCCGTAGGATAACTAAAGGTTCGATCGAGTTAGATGCGGAGATCCTTCGCCGACATAATCAAGATGCTGAAACGTCCAGAATCATCCGATAGTGCTTAGGTTTTCATGTTTAGTTGTTTTTAGTTTTTGTTTGTTGTACTGTTTTATGTTATGTTCATCATTGATTCGAAACATGTAATCAACAAAATATTATGCAATAAATAAGTATGTGTGTCACAATATATACATATAATACGATCAAAATAAAACAGATCCACATATACCATCCACAGGCTATGTCAACTAATCTAGTTAAACATGTATAAATTTCACCATTAGGGTTTACCAAATCCATGAGGTTATCTAAATGAACTGTAATAAACTGTAGGCGACTGTCCTGATCACATGCAGGTGGTGGAGGTGGTGGTGGCGGCTCAGCAGAAATCATAACACGTGACCACGTGAAGGCTTCAGAACATTAGATGCTGCAGCCAGTGGTATGACTTGAGTGTGTGATACGCTGCGATACCGCTCCAAGTATCCAAACTCGCACTGTGAAGCATGTTGAACCATAATTGATCTATCTCTGATCTCACAGTCAGAGCTGATGATGTGACTCTAAAACTATTTGTCAATGCCACCAGCTGGAGCCTTGGGAATTGGATGAGGGATGCTCTGTATATAACCATATTGTCGTAGACACCACTCAGGAAAATATCTAGTCACATGGTTTTCCCACCTAAGATGCACTGAATACAAAGAAGCGTCGTCAAATGCACGATGAGACCAGTGAGATGTATATGGTGTCTATACGACATCCTCTACAGTTAGAGCGTAAAGCCTCATCCGATACTCCATTGAACCTTGTAGAAGAGCTTGCTTGCCCTTCCATCTCCTCGCACATGGTACAATAGTCGAGACACGCTGGGTCTCCTGGTCACATATATGGGGGAAATGCTCGTATATCCAGTACTGCATAAATAAAAACAATCAAATAAATACACCCAAATAAATAATAAACACCATCAAATAAATTATAGTATACTTGTAAAAGACTAAGGTAACCAGCTAGCTGTTTGGTCTTCGGATGAGTAGAAACTCCAAGTGTTGTGAACATCATGGTCAACGCCGCCACTCTCCAAGCCCAACAAGCAGTGTTAAGGGTGCTGAACAAAGATAGGTAACGAATATCGATGTAAGCTTGTCTGCAAAGAGAGTACATGCCACCAAATGTAGCATGTACGCCCATGCGACAACTCAGTATCTATGGGCCTCCACATGCTCCTTGTAGCTCTCCCTAAGCCAAGACATTCGAAGGTGATATTCCATGTTAACGCCAAACTCCGCTAGAAACATTGCCTCATATACCTTTAAATCATCCACAATCATGCGCACCACTGTCATATGGTTAATATGAGGAGGTGTAAAGCATGTACCAACGATCGAGATGTGAAACAGGGCATCCACATCATCCAATGTGGCTGTCATCTCCCTAAATGGAAGATGAAAGGATAATGTCTCTGGGTGTCATCTCTCAACAAAAACAGATAACAGGGAGGCGTCTAACATGGTCAAGGAGCACTGAGAAAACTCTAACAGTTGAAAATCTCTAACAATACTATTGGCCTCCTCAAGCATGTCACCCTCTGGGAAGTTCTTCAACTTCAAACTATGGGAAGCGACCTTCAGCACTAGACGCTACTGTAAGAAGCAAAAATAAAATATTATACATAAACTTTCAAATATTTGCAAAAATAAAATATTATACATCAACCAATTAAAATATACATCGCCATGTCATATCTGATGGCTCTGTAGACACACGAGTCATGGTGTCTGTATCAGTGGGGGACACCTCGTCAACGTGTTCAATAATAGCCTGATCAACCTGCTCTACAACCTGCTCAATTGTCGACTCTACAACTTGCTCGACAATCGACTCTACAATCTACTCAGAAATGGGCTCCACAACCTGCTCAAGAATCGACTCCACAACAGGCACAACCGCCTCAATAGTCGGCTCAATCACATCCCCATCCATAGAAGTAAAAGCATGTACCTCCTTAGTAGTATAAGTTCTAAGTCCTCGATGATTGAGTGCGAGGAACTGCGCATGCTGTTTAGCCATCTGTTTCCGATGAGAATCGGTCGGAGGACGTCGTCCAACCCGTAGCTTAGAAGCCTATGCCTCCTCAGTCCGACCCTGAGCTTTCGCTCTAGGAGGACAAAATTAGGAAAATTTAAAAATTTCGATATTTTCCAAAAAAAATTGAATTATTGGAAATTTTGAAATTTCTGGTACATGCTGCAAAGCTCCGAAAATTTCAAAATTTCCTGTACAAAAGGTAAATACTAAACCCGAAAATTTCAAAATTTTGGATTAGAATATACTAGATATTTCAAAATTTTCGGTACAAAATACTAGAAATGACACAAATCCACCGTAAATTTCTTACTATTTCACGAAATTTCCAGTATCGCCTTGAAATTTCCGGTATCCCAATAAATATGAAAAATACGGTGTGGTACTAAAAATTTAGAATATTTGAAAATTTTTTAGGTTTGGATAATATGATCTTTTCATACGGGGGAGGGGGGGTTTGGGTTTGACATGTTAATTTCTCAAGAAGAATATGTTTGGCTATCCGATAGAAAGTATCAAAATCAATTTTGAATCCTTGAATTTTTCTTCTTTTTGCTTTTAAATTGAACAACATTAATAACTCTTTTAATAAAAATATTCAAACAATATTTTTCATACAAATCACTTTTATTGTGAATATATCCAAACACAATTTTTAAAAAAAAAATCCAAACATAAATTACTTTATATTAAATTAAATTTTAACTAAAAATAAATCAAACACACATGAAATGCACAAATAGTCGTCCTTTACATGAACTTCTTTATTATTAGAGTTCAATTGCTTGGTTAATATTTATTTTCTTTTGCATTATACCTTTATCTTATTATGTATGGGTGCATTAATATAGACACTTAATTTTAATTTAATGTTCATTTATAATGATCTTTAGTTCTTTTCAACGTATGAAAATATGAGTGAGTGATTGAATATCTGACCCTCTCAAGTGAGAGGGTATTTATAGCCCCCAGTATTGGATCAAGGTCTTCAGCATTGGGTTACGATGAGGCCCAACAACAAAGACTGCCAAAGTTTACGGAAGTATGGAGTCCAGCACGTGGCCTCCTCC